TTTTGAAAGTAAAAGCCAGAGTTTCTCAACACCATAAGGAATACTCTAATTTGCATAGATGCTGTGATTGTTTTACACTGTTGAAACTTTTCCATGAGAATAGATTCTGTGCTTTCATGTGATGCTCATTAAGCTGTCTGTGAAATCAGAAGATGAGTAACAGCATTGCACCACGCTTAAGGTTATGCAGGTCCTGCACAAAAACTTCTCTTTGTTAATTAGCTAATAGTCTTCTGAAAATCAATAGAAAGAGGAAGCAAATCAGGATTTCATGTATCACTTGAGCATGAAACTCCAATGGGGAAATTAGTCAAAACCATCCAAGAGAAGCTCTGGTCCGTATATAATGGTAATAATTAGGAAAATGGGAATTTTTTCAGTGAAGTTTCTCCTTATTGCTATACTCAGTTGATATAATATTACCGTTCGCATCTATGAAACATTATTAGGTTTTCCTTATGTGAAAGTCCTCAAGGCATATCCACATGTCTTAGCCTATAAATATTTTATAGTGATAGTTATTTAAGATGAGTGGCAGTATTTTTTGAGTCAACCTTTAGAAGAAAATAACAAAGCTGCAAATTCTTCCAGTATACTGTAAGATGAATAAAAAGTTCCTAGCCACTGAGTCACCTTTGGCAGCACAGATCATATGGGCATTTAGAATCCAGGTGCCATATCATACACTATGTGCCACAAAGGTTATTAGCTTTATAAATTGACTGTCTTCCCAGCTAGTTCTAGCTAGGCGACTAGAATGAATTTCAAAACGCATATACACAGTAGAAAGGGTGACATGGTGTGCTAATATCTGTTGCTATTCAATGCCATTCCTGTCAATCTAAGTTCTCCGTATATAATTGTCTGGAAGCTTGAATCAATATTCTGTAGCTTTCCTTGCCTGTAGGATTCTGGTTTAGATTTCCTATTATGCTATTTTAAATCCAACATAATTATCAAGTGCATACTAAATGATTAATACTGCACTATTCAGTATGGGGAAATCCAAAAAGAATGAGACCCAGCTGTTGATGTCAAGGGATATAAAACCTTATAATACTCCCTATAGCACATAATATCATGATCTGAATGCCTTACAAACTTAGAAATTCTTGTTACACTGATCTCACAATGAAGGTCCCGTAAACTCTGGATAAACAGAATATATAGATTGACATCTATTTAATTCATTTGGCAGTATCCACTGAGTTCATGTTATGTTCCAGACAATACTAGGTACTGGAAAATAAAAAATATATGTAGGATACATGCTGTATTAGTCTGTTTTCATGCTGCTGATAAAGACATACCTGAGACTGGGCAATATATAAAGAAAAAGAAGATTAATGGACTCACAATTCCACAGGGCTGGGGAGGCCTCACAATCATGGTGAAAGGTGAAAGTCATGTCTTACATAGTGGGAAGCAAGAGAGAATGAGAGCCAAATGAAAGGGGAAACTTCTTATAAAACCATCAGATCTCATGAGACTTATTCACTACCATGAGAACAATATGGGGGAAACCACCCCCATTATTCAATGATCTCCCATGGGGTCCTTCCCACAACATATGGGATTTATGGGAGCTATAATTCAAGATGAGATTTGGGTGGGGACACAGCCGAATCATATCAAATGGTACATTCTACATATACCATAGTTATTATATAATATTTAATAACCACAGTTATTAAGCATATGATTTCTGATGCCTGGCTAATTGGCTTTAAATTCTTACTCTCCTGCTTATTTTGGAAACTAATTTCCTAAGACAGATTCTCAATGAACAATGCTTCTTAGTACACATTCTCTGTCCTGTTAGAATCGCAGGCTGGCTCTGGGCAATATAAGACGACAAAAGTGACTTCCCAGGCTAGGTCATAAAAGTCTTACAGCTTCCTCCTGGGACTTCCTGGGACGTTTTCTCTGTAGAGAAAATCCAGCTATCTATAACATGGTCAATCACTCTGACACTGCCTTGATGGGTGGAAGCCTGGACTTGGCCAAATGGAAAGCCACACAGAGGAAGATAAATGTGTCTGCCAAGCCCCCAGTTGTGCTACCCAACCCAATGGAAACCCCTGACATGTGAGGGAAGTGGGCAGCATCTTTGTCTATCCCAATCAGGCCTTCAGCTGACTCCAGTTCTGGAATAATAGGACTTCAGGCACAGGAAAGAGCCTCACAGCCAGGTCAGGTCAATCCACACAACAGCATGGGAGAATTATAAACTATTGTTTTAGACAATCATGTTTTGGGGGTAATTTATTGGATAGGACTAGATCCTTAGAACACTTATACGCTGTGTGAGTATAACTAAGTTAATTTCCATTTACCTTAACTACTTTATTGAGGAGATGGGGACAGTCTATATCTCCTAGGCTTGATGTGCCTGGACTTTAATAAGGCCTTAGCTTTCACTACCCTGTAGACCTGCACTGTTCATTATTGCAGCTACTGGCCATCTGTGCTAGTGACATATGAAAGGTTGCCAGTCCCAGCTGAGGGGGCTATAAGTATCAACCACACAATGATAGATAATAGAAGGGTGGTTCCCAGAGGCTAGGAAGGGTAGTAGGAGGTGGGGAGAAGGTGGGGATGGTTAGCGGGTACAAAATATTGTTAGAAAGCATAAATAATGCTTAGTATTTGATAGTACCATAGAGTGACTATACTAAGAATAATTTAATGGTATGCTTTAAAATAACCTAAAGGAGTATAACTGGGTGGTTTGTAACACCAAGGATAAACATGTAAAAGGATGGTTATCTCATTTTCCGTGATGTGATTATTATGCATTGCATGCCTTTATCAAAATATCACATGTACTCTATTGATATATACAATTACTATGTACCCACAGAAATTAAAAATAAAATATTTTTTAAAACCATAAGAACAAACAAAATAAATATACAATGAATTTGAAATAGTGTGGGAAAAAAAGGAGTGTAAAATATTGCATTAACATTTTTAAATTGTGTGTACATATTGAAATTATAATATTTTAAATATAGGAAGTTAAATATAACATTTTATTAAAATTCTTTATTTTCCTCCTTTAAATGTTCTTACTAGGAAGCTTTAAAACTACAAATGTAGCTTGCATGTGTCGTCTAATTATATTTCCATTGGATGGCATTGCTTCAGGATATCAATAGCATAAGAGCAAGACTTTGTGCCTCTAAAACGTAGTGTCTCTAAAAGCATCTGCCATATAGAAGACACAGAATACACACACACGCACACACAAACACACAAACACACACACACATATATATAATGGGTACATTGTAGGTATATTTATTTATGTGGTATGTGAGATATTTTGATACAGACATACAATGTGCAACGATCAAATCAGGGTAAATGGGATCTCCATCCCCTCAAGCATTTATCCTTTGTGTTACAAACCATCCAACTGCACTCTTTTAGTTAGTTAAAAACGTACAATCAAACTATCATTGACTATGACTACCCTGTTTTGCTATCAAATCCTGGATCTTATTTATTCTTCTAAATATTTTTTGTATCCATTAACCATACTCACTCCCCCAACCTCCACTACCCTTCCCAGCCCCTAGTAACTGTCATTCTACTCTCTTTCTCCATGAGTTCAATTCTTTTAACGTTTAGCTCCCACAAATATGTGAGAATATGAAAAGTTTGTCTTTCTGTGCCTGGCTTATTTCATTTAACATGATGATCTCCAGTTTCATCCATGTTGTTGCAAATGACAGGATTTCATTCTTTTTTATGGCTGAATAGTACTCCATTGCATCTATGTACCACATTTTCTTAATCTATTCCTCTGCTATGGACACTGAGGTTGCTTCCCAGTCTTGGCTACTGTGAATAGTGTTGCAGCAAACTTGGGAGTATAGATATCTCTTTGATACACTGATTTCCCTTCTTTTGGGTACGTACCTAGTAGTGGCAAAATAAATATTTGTTGAATAAATGAACGACGCCCACATCCAAATTAGGTTTTTCTCATCTTAGTAATGTTTCCTTAACCTTCTTTAAATACTTTTGTGTGATGAGCCCATACATATTGAGTCTACCCTTAGATAATCCATGATTATTTGATAATTCTCAGGATATAAATGTATTTGCAAATGCTAAATTTATATATATATATATATATGTATTTGAGATGGAGTCTTGCTCTGTTGCCCAGAGCAATGGCACAATCTGGGCTCACTGCAACCTCTGCCTCCTAGGTTCAAGCAATTCTCCTCCCTTAGCCTCCTGAGTAGCTGGGAATACAGGCATCCACCACCATGCCCAGCTAATTTTTTGTATTTTAGTAGAGACAGGGTTTCACCATGTTGGTCAGGTTGGTCAAACTCTTGACCTCAGGTAATCCCCCTGCCTCCCAAAGTGCTGGGATTACAGGAATGAGCCAATGTGCCCTGCCAATTTTTAAAAAGATTTTAGGGTCATCCAATCACTCTTTCAGTGAAGTATAGTAAGGTAAGTTTCATGCTCACACAGTGTGTATGCATGTAAAACTTGCATGAATTTCTTAAAAGTCTTGGTTGGATTTGCTTACATTTAGGAAAATTGCTGAATAAAGACATATTTGCATTGTTTGCAAGGCCTTTAATGTAGCACAAATAGGGTTAGCCAGGGCAAAACTTCTGTGAAGTAAAAATCAACTGGTTATTTACGTGTGCTACATGTTTTCCCCATGAAATGCTGTAGCGCAATTGCCAGCCTCCATTCTGAGGCACTGTGCCATTTACGTTGAAAAATAGAAAGGAGTGCATTGTGACCCATTTTTACTTCTCCTGTGTCCTTTGTAGGTGATATAGAATTTTTTATTGCAATCAACAACATCAATTGAGTTTAAACAGAGTAGCTTTTTAAAAAGGGGATACAGTAGGTACAGGAACAGTTAGCAAGATTACAGGACTAGATTAAACCACCAGGATCTGGAAAGGTAGAACTAAAGGTGGCTCTGAAGAGGGACTGGCATCATACCTTCAAGTACCCACCTTGACCCTGTCTCTCCAGCTTTGTCTCAGCTGATGTTTCTGTTTTCACCGAATCCTCTCAGACCAACTTTCTCATGAGGCCTAAATGGAGCCCAGCATTTTTGGGGTCTGCAGCTTCAGATTCCCTATTGGAGAGAAAAAGGTCACTCTTCTATGTGCTATTTAAAAAATCCTGGAAAATAACCTGGCTTGAATTGCGTATCTATCGCTGGATCACCCTGGTGGACCAGGGTACCATTCCCACGATAAGCACTTTATTAAAAGGAACAGGGTTGAAGTAGTTCCTGAAAAAATAGAGTGAAACTTGGAGAAGGGAAAGGAACAGGAGCAGATCAGACAAAACATGACAAGTCCACTGTAGTACACAGTAATGATCTAACCACTGGATTTCATATTTTAAAGTATGGTGGATGACATTATTGCCTAGACATAAATTCTTCCCAATGGTAACAGTTTAACAGTTGAAAAGTGGCTATACCCCTTTTACAGATAAGCAAATTAAAAAAAAATTGAAATGCTTGCATTTTAATATTGTATTTAATTTTGGATATTTACCAATGAGGAAGAGAAGCAAGGATGTTTTCTGTTCCTGACATTGGGTTTAGCAGGGCAGGAATAATGTTATCTATTAATGAGCAGAGATGTTAGCTGAAGAGGTCTGGCTATGTTCCAATTTGGTTAATTAAATCCTACCTGCTTAAATTCTGTCTTTATTTTCAAATGAATATTCACTGTTATTTCTCATTTGAAAAATTGTCTCATGTTATGAGTTTTGGACCAGTAGCTTATTTGTGAGGCAAATAATTTTAGTTTACTTTGAGTTCAAAACATCCTAGTTGCTGTTTAATATGATACTCTTTTTTCAACTATTATATTCTTTTTGTCTTGACTTTCACATGCTTTTCTTATGACTATAGTAATAGAATGATATATTGCTTAACAATGATAACACAACCTTTTAAAATCATTTATCTGTTTCTCGTAGTGATAGCAAATTATATAACAACAGGACTGATGGAAGACAAGCTTGATTTGACCCATTAGATATGGCTTTTCTACACAATAATATTTGCATTAATGGATAATATCTAAAATGAGCATGTTAGGAAATTGGGAAAGGATCAAATCAAAATTAAATTATCTCTAATCAGGGATTATTTTGTGAGACCCTACCCTATTTCATGGAATTCTTTGTACAATATGCTAAATTGATACAGTGCAGTTGAAATAAAAGATATGTTCCAACTTATTTTTCTAAATTTTTATTGAAAAGTAAGACTCAGGGGTGTGTGTGTGTGTGTGTGTGTGTGTGTGTGTGTGTGTATGTGTGTGTGCGTGTGTGTGTGTGTGTGCGCGCGCGCATTTGCTAAACAGAGGCCATGTGATCTAATGAGTAATTATAGTATTATGTTTTGGGAAGAAATTGTGAAGTATTAATTGATTTATCTGTTTTTTTTGTTAAAATTTTGTTATTTTTTTTCAAAGGAGATGTGAATGTTTTATCTCTTCTTATAATTATACTTAAGTTATGGGATACATGTACAGACGTACAGGTTTGTTACATAGGTATATGTATAGGTGCATGGTGGTTTGCTGTATCCATCACCCCATCATCTACATCAGATATTTCTCCTAACGCTTTTCCTCCTCTAGTCCCCCCACTCCCCCTGCTATCTCTCCCCTGGTCCCCCACCACCCCAATAGGCCCCAGTGTGTGATGTTCCCCTCCCTGTATCCATTTGTTCTCATTGTTCAACAACCAATTATGAGTGATAACATGCAGTGTTTGTTTTTCTGTTGTCAGTTTGCTGAGAATGATGGTTTTCAGCTATATCCATGCAATGTATATATTTTCCTAAAGGTCCTACCCTCCCAATATTAGAAAGAACAGTGGAGTTTAAACAAGAAAATAAAGATCATGTTATCTCACCATTCAGGGATAACCACTTTTGCCTCCACTCTGATGTACATTTAATTTTTCTATATTTTTTCTTCCTTTCCTTTCTTCCTATTTTTTTCTCATACACGCACACACATATGTGTGCATTCTTTTCAAACATGAAGGAATCCAATGCGATAGGTTTTATAAACCTTTTTACATTTAACAGTCAACTTTGTGCCAGTAAACACTCATTAACCACAACATTCTTAACTAATTAATGTATTCATTTCTTTCTTAAGTACTGTCTATAATATTCCTGTTGTGTACTGGGCATTGTTCTAGACCTGGCAGATACCTAGATAGGCAGGAGGTAATTGCTCCCAGGGAGCTTGTATTCTAGTGATAAATTAAATGCAATAGGTACACACACAAATTAGAAAACATCAGACGTTGATTCGTGTAAGACAGATAAATAATTTACAGTGAGGGAATAGAGAATGATTGATTTGTGTGGTCCAAAAAAATCTCTGAATCCATAACATTTGAATTATAAGATTTGAATGACAAGAAGAAAGAATTATGTTGGCAGATTATATTTGTGATAGAATTCCTGACAGAGAGAACACTGAGGTGAAATGTCCCAAGGCCTTGAAATGTTGGCATAACAGGTAAAAGGGTGTGGGGTGGAGAGAGTATCACATATAAAAGGATGAGAGATTTCTAGGTGCCAAAATTTGTAAGGTTATGAATACCAAGTAAACAAACTTGGAGTTTATCCTCAGTGTTATAGGAAGTTACACAAGTTCCATGCCCTTTGCCTGTTTGTTTAAATTTTATTTATTTATTTATTTATTTAGAGACAGGATCTCACTCTGTCTTTTGCCCAGGCTGGAATGCAGTGGCACAATCATGGCTCTCTGGAGCCTTGAACTCCTGGGCTCAAGTGATCCTCCCACCTCAGCTTACCGAGTAGCTAGGACTACATGTAAGCACCACGGCTAATTAAAAAAAAAAAAAAATTGTAGAGACTGGAGCCTTGCTGTGTTACTCAAGCTGGTCTCAAACTCCTGGCCTCAAGTGATCCTCCTGCCTCAGCCTCCTGAAATGCTGGGATTACAGCCATGAGCCACAGTGCCCAGCAAGTGATAAGTTTGAATTAATATTTTTAACGAAAGATCATTCTGGCTGCTGGGTGCAGATTTTACTAGACAGAGGTTGGAGGAGAAGCACAGAAATCAGGTAGCAGGCTCTTGCAGTGGCCAAGGCAGAGACCACAGGCTTCTGGGCTGTGATTACTGTCAGGAAGACAGGCAGGCTCAGAGTAGGTTTTGGGGAATGATGAAGCAGGGTCTGCCAATGGCTGGGGATTGGGGTGATATCTGAGAAAATGAGAACAATTAATATCAGCTCTAGATCAACACAGTCCAATAGAAAAAGGTGTAAGACACATTTGCAATTTGTTTTCTAGTAGCCAGTTTGAAAAAGTAAAAGGAATAAGAGAAATTAATTTTAATGATCTATTTAATTCTTCATACTCAAAATATAGTTCCAATGTATAGTTAATACAAATATTAATAAATAATGCTACATTAAAAAACTTTTTTTTGGTGCTAATCCTTTGAAACCTGCTTTGTATTTTACACTTAGAACACATCTTAATTCAGGTTAACCACACACATTTCAAGGGCTCAAGAGCCACGTGTGCTTAGGTAGTTAACATATTAAATAACACCACTGTAGATATTTGGCCTCACAGTTGGAAGTACGGTGGTATCTGTTCCTGAAATAGAAGAAACATGGAAGAAGTACAGAATTGCAGAGGCTGCGATCAGGAATTTTATTTTAATCCTAAGAGGTTTTGATGTATGTTAGACATCCAAATGGAGCTGAGAGTTAACAGTTGAACCTATTTAATAGCTTATTAATATTCAGTTAAACAGATGTAACATAATTTGTATTAACAGCCCTTTACCTCAGGAATATTTAAAATATTATGCTTTTATCAAATATAGTACAATGTAATCTCATATACTTGTAACTTTGTTTACTTTCTGAAATCTTCAAATCATTATTTCTAGAAGCAGAAATTATATGTCTTAGTATACTCCTACCTTAAAGGCTTTTGATATATTGACCACTTTTTCTGCAAAAATATTAGATTCATTTGTTTTTTATTAGCAATATATGACAAAGCTATATCTTTCATACTCTCACTATTACTGATATGATGAGGTTTTAAACACACATATCTTAAAAAGCCCATCTCTGATGAAGAGTTTTTGACATTGCGCAAGTAAGACACAATGACCAGAAAAGAGTCATTCCAGTAAGAAGCTCTGATTCCAGTGAGGAAAGCTTTATTAGAAGGGTATTCAGTGGTAACTCAAATATGTGGCTTTTTGTTTCTTTACGTTTTTTTTTTTTTTTCTCCAAGCAAACATTAGCTATCAACAACAACAGTTTCATGGGGAAAAGCTCATGGAATTCTCTTGGTTTATGTAGACTGAATCATATCTATAAAAAGATATTTTGAATCATTAAATCTGTAAGATGTTTGCCCTCTAAAATATTTCTCAATTTAGAAAGCTGTGAATAAAGATAAACTAATCTATAAATTATTCTTTTCAAATATATGACCAACTTTTGTAAACATAGAGGTCTATTTGTATTATACCTGTGTTTACCCCTGGCATTTCATTTGCGGTTGTGTTTTTCCCCAATTCAAATTTGATGCAAAATACATTCATTAAAATTGACATTAATAATCTCTCTTCATATTTAGCAAGCTGTGATCTCCAAGGGTTGAGGTTGTGAGAGCTATTGTGTTCATTTATTCATTATATAAATACATATTATCCTGAAAGTGAGTACAGATAAATCAGTTATGAACAGAAGACATACACTATCTCTAAAATATGGAAGCTTAGATGCTGGTAGGGAGACAGATATTTACAAAATAATTACATAAGTAAATATGAAATATCAAATTTGTTATGTGGCACAAAAGATAAATCCATGGTAATATAAAAGCCTAAAATAGAATAATTTGATCTATTCAAGAACATCAGGAAAGACATCCCAAAGAAGACAATTGACCCAAAGTTTACTGATGAGTGGGAAGGAATTTACTAGACAGGAAGGAGAACAGAAAGATACAGAAAGGTTAATGTGACTTTGATGGAAAGAGTGAGGACAATTTGTGAGAGCTGAGTCCACTGAAGAGGAAGAGAAATCAGACTAGTTGTCTGGGCTATAGAGGATGCAATGGGATTTCTCTTGCATTTATTCTAAAAGCAAGAGAAAGCTTTGAATTTTTCCATCAGGGATGTTCCATGATCAGATATGATACTGAGAAAATCATTTTAAATGCAATGTAGAGAACACATTGGAAAGATTAAGAAAGAATATCAGTAGGTCATTTAGGAGAAAAGTCACAGTAGTTCAAGGTAGACTCTGGTTGTCAACAACAGGTTGATGTATTTAAAGACATGGTACTTGGTGAGATCTCCTAGATAGTAGTATACATGAAGAAGAGAAGAGGATCAGAATCTAGATAGTCATAAGCAAACTAGAATTGCCAAACGTTACATAAAACCCATACCGTAAAGGCTGTGTATTTATTTTACAAAGGTATTAATTTGATGGGCCTTTAAAATAAAGACTTGATAAAGAATTAAATATTGCTTTCTAAAAATCCAGTTTATATGTAATACGAGTTAACGAGTATATCTAGATCAAAGAGAAGTTCAATTTTACTTTTGTATTTCTCCTTTCTCCCTCATACAAGAGTACTATATTCAGGATTTCAAGTGGAAGAAACAGACAAGTTCATGTACATTTGATTTCAGGCATTGTGTAAACAAGCAAATGATATTACATAGAGTCAGAATTTTAAGGGACTTTATCTTTTGCTTAAAAAAAATTGGTACTTCAGGATTTTCCTCAAATATAAGATTGTATCATTGGCAAACATAGATAGTTTAACTTCCCTTTTCAAATTTAGATGTCCTTTATTTCTCTCTCTTGCTTGATTGCTCTGTCTAGAACTCTCAGTACTACGCTAAATAGGAGTGGTGAAAGTGAGCATCCTTGTCTTGTTCCAGTTCCTAGGGGGAGTGCTTTCAACTTTTCTCCATTTGGTATGATGCTGGTGGTGGGTTTGTCAAAAATGGATCTTATTATTTTGAGGTATGTTTCTTCTATGCCTAGTTTCTTAAAGGTTTTTAATCATGAAGGGTTACTGGATGCTTTTTCTGCATCTATTGAAATAATTATATGTTTTTGTTTTAAATTATTTATGTGATGAATCACATTTATTGATTTGCTTATGTTGAACCATCCTTGCATCCCTGGAATGAAACCCATTTGATCATCTTTTTGATGTGCTGTTGGAATGGATTTGCTACTATTTTGTGGAGGATTTTTTTCATTTATGATTATAAGGGATATCATGTAGGTCTGTAGTTTTGTTTGTATGTGTGTGTCCTTTGTGGGCTTTGGTATCAGGGTGATCCTGGCTTTGTAGAAAGAATTTGCAAGTTTCTGGAATGTAAAACATAAACAGTGATATGAAGAAACATTTTTTATTAAAGGCTTTATCTGCACATGTAAAAATATTAATGTCTTTAAAAACATTCCAAAGTTTTTATAGACATAAAATAAAGCAAGGGAAGTGTTGTGTCATTTTGAAGATAAGTCTGATATTCTGCACTCTGGGGATATGTTCTGCTAATCCAAAAACTTAAATTGACTTTGACCTAAATAGTGCCAACCAGTTTAATTAAATATAGGGATGGAGGAAACATTATATGATTATTGTAGTCTAAGTGCTATTTTGATTTTCTCACTATTAACATAAACCCAAAAATTGAATTTAGAATTATAACTGAATAAGAGCAACTTCACCATCACCTCCAATCCATGGAAGTCTAAAAAACCAACCAAACAAGCAAAACAAAAATTAAAAAAAAATGATAATAGATAACATATTTGACCAGAAAAATTAAGTTGTCTCAATTACTCTATTGTGTTACCTTCAGCTTTTTCGAATGTAGCACATAAATTGGGGTTGATTTATGCTTAATACAACCACATGATCATTCACACACTCTCCCTCTCTTGAGTTGATAGATTTAAGCATATAGCTTCATGGTTTTTATCTCTGAAAAGTCCACCAATCTGATATATCCAATTTAATATTTCAAAACTGTAGCAAACACATGAAACCCTGACAACTCTCATGGTGATACAGAAAATTTAAAACAAAGTATTTGTTAGCAGAAAGATACCTACAAGAGCACTGAAGTTTTTCTTTCTAGATTCCATCTCAAGGCAAAATGCATCATGTAGCCACGGGCACACCACATTTAAAATAGAGCAACTGCTGATATGGTGTTGAGCAGTGATATATGCTGGGCTGTTTGGGAAGCAAAGGAAAGATCTCATGTTTACTGGTAAAATATAGCAACCGAAAATAGATTGTTTTTTTCCATTCTATGGGTAATAATAATGAAAATGAAAAGTTGGGTAATGCTCTTAGCTAACTATTCTGTATTATAAAGAGACAATCCATTCCTAATTTAAATAAGATCAGTGTTTGGCATCTGTCAAAGACATGAGCAAACTTACAAGTTCTAAGATTTCCATGTCTCTCCCAAAATTCCCCAATAGGGCCAGTGCTAGATTATATTTGGAATTTTGAAAAACCTATATATATATATATATATATATGCTCTATTACTTATGTTAATATGAGTACATGAGCATATTTTTCAACTGGAAGGCTACCTCGGCATGATGAAGTTGAAGCATGAATAGGAAACTTCTACAAGAAGCCAAGTGAGGGGAAAATGGGAAGGTAAACACAGTCTGTTCCTACTAAACTTTTTTTCTGAAATCACTATAAATAGGCATCCAGGTTAGGAGAACAGTGATATGTACAGTGAGGGCCAGAGAAAGGTATGAAAGATTCAATTACATTTAAAATTTATTACCTAAAGTCTTGACTCCTCTAGCCAAGCAAGTAAACAAACAAGTACACAAAATGACCTTTTCTCTTTATGAGAAGACCTAAATGTCATCACTAAAACAGGTGAAGAGACTCATTTAACTGAACCAGTTCGGGAAATTAGAAGTGGTCATTGAGCGAATAGAAATGGAGGACATTTGTTATGAAAGACATGGTCATCTTTATGTCTTTCCTAATCCAATTTATATTAATAAAACATCATGCTTATAGCATAAGCATCCTAAGTGAAAAGTTATGCATAAATTGGGATTTGTTTTGTGGTACTGTTTGTTGTATGTTTTTAATTTTATATTGTGTTTTGTTCATGTTGGTTGTTCTGTCAACTAATGCTACTCAAGTGTGAGAACATAACAGCATGAGGAAGATTTACAATGTTTACCCTACTGAAGTCTCCAAGATGTCCTAAAATAAAAAGCATGCCAATTGTAATAAAACTACTGCTTATTACAGTTATTTGACTATATTTATGGAATTTTAAAAAAATTTATTTATTATACTTTAAGTTATAGGGTACATGTGCAGATCATGCAGGTTTGCTATGTAACCTTTTTCAAATAAAATCCTATTGATGCATACAAAGTTCTATCTAGAAAGAAAAATTATATCAAAGAAGATGTGTTCAGAAACATTGACCTAATGCACCATAGACTATAGAATAAATGAAATAAGACTACTCAAACTAACTAGAAAATAAAATGATAAACAACATTTGGATCATTCTAAAAAGTGCATTTTTTTAATTAATGAAATCAAAGGTGGGGCCTCTTACATGGGCAGTACATTTATATTTTACATTAATAATCCCTATGATTAAACTAGAGATCAGAAATTTAAGCATTAACTACCACTCATACATTTTTCTTATTTATAAAATACGTTTTTTTCCCGATTGATTCAAACAAAAAGGAATTACTTTTAATAATTGTTCTTGATGAATGCTACTGAAATTGTAAAAGTAGTCTTGTTATTTTGAGCTATCACATATTATCCATGAACTCTGAAGTTCTGTAGTTTTGTCTTATTGATTATTTGCTGTTCTAACAAAGGACATTGCTTCTGTACTTCCTTCATGAACTCAAAAGAGCATTTGGCGACATTATAAAATATATTCAGCTATTGGGTTTTTATAATAGTTAATCTTCAAGGAAAGCATGAGAACTAAAATGTCAATCAGCAAGACATTTTAAAAGAGTTGTTCATTTTTTTTTAAACTTCATCATGATACAAAAATAATCCTCTGAGAATCCGTTTTCTGCCACAATAAAAGAAACAACAATTATGATAAACTTATTTTTTTAACCTAAGTCAAAACTGACTATAGAGAATTGCAACATACAGATGATAAACATTCATTACACAGTTGACAAAAACTAGCCATAAATTCACTGGAATCATAAACTTGGACAAGGTCAAGGTTATCATTTTGTAGGTCGGATAGTTTTAGCACTAATGTGTCCCGATGATAGTTTTTATTTTTAAAAATTTTTATGTATTTATTTTTAAAAATTAATTAATTAAAATAGTTTTTGGGGAACAGGTGGTTTTGGTTACATGAATAAGTTCTTTAGTGTAATTACTGAGGTTTTAGTGCACCTATCCCCTGAGCAGTGTACACTGCACCCATGTGTAGTCTTTTATCCCTCGCCCCCTCCGTCACCCAGGCTGGAGGGCAGTGGTAAGATCTTAGCACACGGCAAACCTTTCAAGTAGCTGGGACTACAGGCATGTACCACCATGTCTGGATAATTTTTATTTATGTTTTATAGAGCTGAGGTCTTACTATGCTGCCCAGGTTGATCTTGAACTCCTGGACTCAAACAATCCCCCTGCCTTGGCCTCCCAAAAAGCTGAAATTACAGGCATGAGCTACTGCACCTAGCCTGATGACTGTTTAACTTCACTTTTCATACTTTCTTCTCCATGTCCAGCTTGGTTCTTGCCAGTTTTTGCAGTTATAAATTTTCACATCAGTATCTTCATCTTTGATCACTGTAATATCATTCACAGCACCACACAAACTAGACCAATTCTCTCTGTAGTCTAGGGTAGTTTCTATTTCTTCTTTCAGGTTTTTTTATTCAAGTTATGTCACCTGCAGGCTACCATATTGTTCTGCCAGTCTTGTAACAGGATGTTCAGAATTTCCATCTTGCTCAGTGAACTGTCTCTGTCTGTCATGAAAGAGTTAGCGTTTCCTTTGATATGCAGGATTAGAAATAATTTCTCTGCCCTTTATCCCAACAAAAACATTTGATCCTTTATTAAATGCAATAATAATATTTAACTAATTTAACAACTATTTGTTTTGATCCCTTAATAACTCAGTCTGCATCAATATTTGGCTGGAGTTTAAGTTGCCAGGAGGTAAAGGCTATTTTGGTTTAATTGCTTTTATAAAAGCTTCACATAATGCCATATCCTGTTAGGTGTTTCATAAAGATGTTTTATGATTGCATGCACTTAACATCACATACAGGTTAGGTGCTTTAAAACAGTAGCTAAATAGTTTTGTGTACGCAAATATTGAGGAGTTGGAAAAACACCATATTCATTCTCAGAGTCTATCAATTAAGATTTATTGATTGTATAATATTTATCCACTCATAGGTTAAGATGCTATCTTAATAGTCATAAAGTCTGGTTATAACATGGAAAATGTTTGTAACATAATAAAAGTAGCCACTCTTCACTGAGTACATACTATGCAACAGGAACTTGATATAAATCACCTCAAAGTTTCTTGACCATACCTCGAGGGATGTATTTTGTCCTCCTCAGTGTACAGATGAGGAAACAGAAGTTTACATAGCTTAGAGAGCTTTTCCACTGTTACTTAACTACTAGATGGTATTGAAGATTGTAACCAGGGCCTTTGACTTTTGAGTTCAAGAGTTTTTACTTCACTAACCAATATTAACACTACTGAAACAATTGGGATACAAAGTTTGCATGTGAAATGGTGCATGGTTTAGAAAACAAGGTACAACTAATAAAATGAAGACTCAACATGGTAGTGAGTGGAATTATCAGGGATTTGCTTTTTCAAAATTTTCTTAATTGTTTTTGCAAGAAATAACAATGGAAAAAAGAAAGGAAAAGTAAAAAAAGAGCTAAGACAAGTTCAACATTGAAGCACTCATTTCTTTTATATCAAAGGACTTGGATTAATTAGATAAACTTTGTATAATTTAATTTTTCTTAGGGAAAGCATATAAAGACCTGCTCAAGACTAAGTAGGCATGGTTGTTAAAGGAAGCGAACGTCTCGATGACAACCTAAAAAAGGAACTGATAAGAAGTAAGATGAGCCTCAAAAGACTGGTATTATTATGTTTTTAATAATGAAGGCATTAGCACTGCAATTGTTAGAATTTTATCTGTTCTATCGTGAAATAAGGATCTAGATAGTATGCAGTAATTAAAGATTGACTTTGATTTAGATAATCCATTTTAATTGCATTTTTAATTGTAGTGAAAATTTCATGAAGTACCATCTAAAAATGCTGATGTAGAAAGATTAGCTAATCAAGATCAAGCCGTTATATTTGAATTATTGGAAATGGACCATGAGTGGTTAAGTGTAAAATACATCTCTCAAGTAACACACAAGTCCCTGTAATCTCATCTCACCTTCTGGGAACAATGCATAACAAATTAAAGCTGGTTCATGAAATGTCATACAATCTGGCAGCAAGATTCTAATTGATGAAGAAACGGCTATTTTAATGATTCTTTAACAACCATAGAAAATTTCAATTACTGGGAACCATGACAAAAACCTGCTTAAGGGGACAAAATAATTTCTAACAGTTTTCTTCAACCAACTCAGAGGCCCCAGTGGACTATTTCTGATCTATACTCACTTTTTTTGTTTAGTTTGGCTGAATGGATGGACAGCTGATTTATACTGTGAATGTTTAAAAAATTATATACAAAATTAGAAAACGTAACTTGCAGTTTCCAGATATGCCCGGCCTACGATCACATTTCCCATGAACTCAGTGATCGATGCTAGTCTTGAGATGAATTTTTGACGTGTGAATTCAGGTTATATTGGTGGCCCTGCCCTCCTTTTTTTGTCCTCTGCATGCCAGTTCTCATTGCAGCATGTATCACATTGTATTTTTGGAATAGAAATTTATGTTTGGTCTCCCCCAGCAGGCCATGGGGTACTGTATATGTTCAATACATAGTTTGATGTTGAATAGATTATTATGACTTTCATTTTGATTAAATTATGGATGTTGTAATATGTGTTAATCTTCTGAGTATAATATCTCTATGTACTTCCTACAAACATATGGACACAATTTCATTATATCTATCTATCTATCATCTATCTATGTATCTATCATCTTCATTCTGGATATTCCAGACATTTCAGGTGTA